TGTTAAAAAGAGGTAAGTAGGTCCCTGCTGAAATCTAGCCACAGCCCCCAAGCTGGGAACTCCTCTGCAAGGCAAATGCCCAGCTTATGCTCGGAGGAGCACAAGAACAACCAAACGGGCACGTGTGTGCACACCTGGACTGTCTTGCATAATGCACTGACAGCACTTTGTAGCTGGGTCAAACCCACGTCAGCAGCTGTAAACACCCCTACATGCACAATATTCTGTGCTTATGTCTTGCTTTTCAACAAGGGTTTGCAAATTATCAAGCATCAGCCAAAGGATTCCCCTCCCTGCTTCCTTCTCCAGTAACACAGAAATGGAGCCACTTGTGCTGATCATTTGTCTTTTTTCAAAGGTGGGATGGGGGGAAACTGAGGCAGAAAAGCAGAGCTGAGGTAGAGCTGAGGACAACACATATTGTGGACCTGGATGTTTCAAGGGTAGGTTAAACCCAGAGCTCTCAGGACCAGTTCAGGCACACTTGATCTTGCCTTGGGGCAGAGGGAAGGACGAGGTCACCTCTTCATGTCCTTCCCAGCCCTGCTCTCAGTGCTTACAAGATCCACCCAGTTACTTTGGAAACAAGGCCCTCCCATCATTGACACAGAGATTTCTCTTACTCTTCCTGTTTATATCTTACTGATGCCCTAATTCCCACAGGGTTTACTGCCCCCGCAGGCTCCAAGGCCATGAAGCTAACGATTCAGTGACTGACACACACAGAGCACCTTGAACTTGGTCAAAAACACCACAGTGCATGTTGCAAAGCAGCTCCCCAAGTGCTGCTCACCCAGTCCTGCTGCTCGTTCTTGTTTCTGCACAAAATACTGATGGGTTAACGTTGTATCAGCTCTCTGCTGGATCAGGCATTTGCTCTGTGTGCGACCTGTGTGTAACATCAGGTATTATCTGTCCTCCTGGGGCTCTTACAATGCTGTCCTAAGAGTACACAGCCAGGGGCTCTTGCAGCAGAAATGCAAATGCCCCCAGCACATGGTGCTGGGAATGGGGAGTAGAGAAGTGGTGTGATCTGAGGGAGGCACCAGGCTGCCCGCTGGCACCCTTTGTGGCTCGCGGAGCACGTCAGCATCGCGGTGTGAAGTTTGTGTTTGTTAGCTGGTCACCAGGTGATGGCCGGGGCTCCCTGGGTGTGGTGCGGCCTCTCGCCATGGGTGGGAAGGAGTTAACTTCTCCTTGGGTGGGGAGGGCGAGGAATTGGGTGTGGGTCACGTAGGCACATAGTGTGAAGCACAGGAATGGCGTTACCTTGGAGATACATAGCTGGATGTGGATTTAATAGTGTTTTACAAACTCTTCCAAATAACCCAACCCTGCAGAAAGACTCTGCTGCAGCAGGGGTGAGTCCCTGGGTCAGCCTGGCGTGAGGTTGCAGGGACAGGACTGGCGGGTTGGGGCTCTCAGCAGTGTGACACCTCCCTGAGTGCCAAGATCTTGGGAACATAGAGTCCGTCCCACCTCGACTTTGCCCTGGTATAAATGATTAAACAGGGTGCCGAGTAACACAGAGTCCTCATGGCCCTGGGCCAAGAGGAAGAAACTAAGGAAGGAGCACAAAAGGAAGAAAAAAAAAAAAGGAAGAAACATGGACTCCATCTCACAAGCATCACTAATATTAACAGGGAAGAGCTTTGTTTTTTAAACCTCTCACACACAATATTCGTGGTACTATGCAAAGATTTGCCTGTCTATGGTTTAAGCAGAAAAGCAGGAGGGGGGAGGTTGTCCTACCTCATTGGGGGACAGCGTCTGGAGGATCTGGATCCGGAAAATATCAAAGCATCCTGGGATGGGAGCTGTGAGGAGAGAGACCAGCCAAATGGTTAGGTAGCCATAGTATAGGGCTCAAAGCTGTCATTCTCATGAAGCACATGAGGAAAGACGGCTGCTGAATAGCGGAGGAGGTTAAAGGTTACTACCCGCTTGGCTTGCTGATAAATACCGATCATGCGTTTTGTTGGCAAAAGCCATGTTCAGAACCAGAAAGGTCAGTCACGAGCTGGAGAGGAGCCACAAATAATGCTATGGCCCTGCAGTGCGGTTGCCCGGAGTTGGATTGAGATGGTGTTGTCCTGGCCCATCCTGCTCTGGCAGGCTTTTCATGGCCAGGCCAGCCTGGGCTTTGCTCTCAGAACAGAACTTCTCAGCTTCTCAGCATAGAGATGTGAGGGAAGGATGCTGGACAGAGAAGCCATTATTCTAGAAATAACAAAACCACGCCCTTTAAACTTCCCTTCCTGGCACGTGGCCTCAGTGTTCGCAGGGGGATGTCAGGGCCTTGTTGTAGGGTCACAGGATCACAAGATAACTGACATTGGAGTGGACCCCAGGAGGTCTCCTGCATATTTACAGGGAGGACAGAGAACTCGCCTTCTTGTAGGTCACACCGGTACCCTGGAGACCAGAGGACGGCCTGCAGGACCAACACTGGTTGTGCAACGTTCCTGACTGATGGGTGGTGAATGGATGATGCTATGGATGTGGTTGGCACATGAAACTGGACTGTCTTCTCATCCATGGATGTCTGTTGGCTTCCAGGATAGGTTGAAGTGTGAGGCAGAACAGCAACAGACTGCAGCTGGCTTAGCAAAAACTCATACCACCCCTCTGTGCCCCTTGTCTGAAGTGAGGGAGAAAATGGGCTGGTGGGGTGTTGCACTTATATTGTTTGCTAGTGCTAATGCTATTAAAATCCACAGAGACACCCTGAGTCCTGTAGCCTGTATCCAGGTGAAGATCTGACTGTCAGGATATCAAAGGGGAGAAGATATTTTTGACTCTAAAGCCGCCATACCTGTCCTTGATTTGACCGGGCTGCTTTTTCAGCAGGCCGGACACAACGTGATACAACTCCCCAGCAAGCAGCTCATTCCCTCCTGACTTAAGCATTGTAGCATATGAGACAAGATGGGAATTACCATGGAAAAATAATAAGAATTGATTTTTGATTGATTTTTGTCCTTTCAGATTAAATTATCCTGGGTGACTGTTGTCACAGAGCAGACACACTGAGTGAAGGAGCATAAAAATGAGTAATGACGCATGGTAAAATGCAGGGATTGTCTGTGGGATATTGCGAGAAACAGGCAGCTCGGAGCAGGAAGGGCTTTCGAGTTACTGTGGTTGCCTCTCTATCTGATGTTGGTGGTACCAACCCCCTCTATTTCAGCTGCAGACTGTGTGTGGGATCCGAGCTGCTGGCAGGCTCTTCATGTCTCCATATCATCCTACATTTGGGTGTTTCTCTACCCCCACTTTACTGAGCTTGCAGGGTTTTGTCTGTAAGGTCCAGACGGAGAATGATTCAGCTTAGCATGACTGTGAGCATCTGCCTTTTCAGCCCACACTTGGTGGAGAGTCTAAGGCCATCTCAATCCTAAAGTTTGGAGTTAGCAGCAATGTTGTGAAAGTCTCATTCTCAGAGCTGTGGCTGCTCCAGGTTCCCCTATTACTACTGCTCAGCCCCTGTCCTAGAGCGTCTTGCTTCATAAAACCACCCCAGCTTCTTCTTTGGCAGCTAACTAAGAGAATGGGCAACCTTTGCCTTCGAGTCAGCAGAGGAGCAGGCAGGGCCTGTGATCCTCTTACAGTACCTCCAGAGGCAGGGGACAGCCCTGGACCTTTTAATGAGATGCTGGTTTCAGTGGTGAAACTGGCTTAAGAAATTCCCATCCTTGTTCCTCTGCTTTTGGGACTGCATTGCATTTTCGCTTTCTTCCTCCCTGCTAACAGTGCAACAGTTTTTTGGCTCTGCTGGATCACTGAACTGATCTGATATTTTTTTCATCTGTGAGTTTTTAAATTGTGGGAAAAGAGGCCCAGGCACAGCAAGCTAATGTCAAACAACTGAATTAGGGCTGAATTAGGAAGGATGGAAGCATGTGAGCCATGAAAAATATACGTAGAGTTTGGCTTCCCTATTTTAAAATATTACACCCAGAGGTGAACCAAAATGAGAACCCAGGATTCATATGGGAGCCTGGCACTGTGACTTAGATCAGGTGCTCAGCATCATGGCTTTACCTCCAAATGAAGCTTGTGTTGTTATTGATATAATTTGGATTTCTTAGTCCATCTAAACACACAGCTGTAGAGGAGTGAGCCATAACATTTCCAAGGAACGGATGGTGAACAGAGGCACAAAGAGATTGAATGAGTTTCAGTCGGAGAGACCTCTGAGCATCTCAAATAACGTGTAGTGCTTATGTTTAGGCAAATGGGTTAGCTGTATATTTGGTCAGTTAAATTGCTTCTTAGTCTCCACTGCCAGTGCAGATTAGCTCCCTGCTGGCTGCAATGCGAGATCAGAGGTCTAACACCCATGGAGACACCTACAGTTAGGCAACTTAACCTGGAGCAACCTCCCATCCCTGATGGGTTTCCAAATGCCTCCTCCGAGGTCACACGGGAAGGCTATGGTGGAGATGGGGAACGCCTCTGGACCTCCTGACTCCCCTACCCACGCCCTAGCACCTGTCTGCCCCTGCCAACCTGCTGACACTGCTTTATCCTCTGTCCTCACTCCCTGCGTCTCCATTTCAGCATGAGTTGCCTCTTGTCTCATGCTTGGAGCTGAGGCCACCATGGTTGACTCTGCTCATAGAAAGCCTAGAGTAAAGGCATCCTATCCATGACCTGTACTCTGAATAACAGCAATAACGATACTAGTTTTCTAACTGCCAGAGGAATAACAACAATTACTATTATTATTAGTAATAACAATGGCAGCAATAATAGAGGTTAATATGTACTGGTAATTACTGTTACTCCATCATATTAATTATCATCACTCTATTAGCCCTCTTGAAATTGAAGGGCAGTGATTTGGCATTGTGAGATACGTTACTTTTGAAAGGCCACGAAGGAAAGGCTCAGCCTGACTCATACCCTATGGAGGCTCTGAGGTAGGACTGACCTGCCTGCTACCCATCTGTTTGTGAAGGTAAAGTGAAAGACATGTACCAATATGTATTTTTCAGGGTTGGGAATTATAGCAGGTGCCTGAACTATTAAGGAGTGCAAAGGAATGGGACACACAGGTAGTGATCAAGTGCTCGCCTCTGCCAGTACGTCAGAGAGACTGCCCAGACCTGCAAAGGTGCCGCTTTTCATGTTCACTCTCAAGGCTTCCCATGTGAGTTTTCAACATTTGGGCTACAGCTTGGTATGTATCGCTACCCGTGCAGAACATCCTGATCACACAGCGTGGATGCACAGCTGGGGGAGAGGGGGGGTGCCCCGTGGGAGGTCGATGCACCTCCACTGCAAAGAGGAGGGTTGCTGGGGACATTCACCCACTTTTTGATGGTAGAGAAAAGCTGAGTTTTAACATTTCTCCAGGACATTTTTTGAATCTCTGTTTTGAGGAGACTGTCTCTAGCTTGTGAAACATGGTGTTTTAATGCAAAATTAAGACGTCAAAACTGAACCTCAATCAGAAAAAAAAATTCCCCTTCCATCTCCCTCCTCCCTCTGCCCTGCAATTTTTCTCTCTGGAAAAATTCAACATTTGGAATATTCTTCCAATGTGTAACAAAGCCAGATTCTGAAAAGCAAAATCTGGGAGCAATGACAGCTCTTGTCCAAATGGTTTGCTGGGATTACAGATGTGGCCTGACCAGGGTCTCTGTTTTCCCATGCTGTGTGGTATGGGTGATGTTCCTTGCTTTGCAGAAGCAAAGACAGAGGTGGGGAACAAGCAGGAATGGGGTAACAGGGGCAGCTTTACCAGGGTAGAGGACAAGGGCTCTCTAGGTATCCATCAGCATGGCCGTGGGTCATGGAGGTGGCAGGGCTGTCACTACTGTGACCATGTACAGCCCTGTTAGATGCTCTGTCACTGATAATATATATCCTGGGAGCTTTGGAAATTGAACACTCAGGATCCATTTTTAATTGTATGGGGATTATGACAGCTATGGGATTGTGTCCAAAACTCAGCAACATTGCAGCTTCTAGCTTGCAAGCTGCTCTACTGACATGTGCCACTTGCTGCTGAATGGGCTTTGTCTGGCACTGGGGGAAGGACTAGAAGTGAAGTGGAACAGTCTCAGTTCTGATTATCCTGATAGTGTTTTATTACTCACTTTTGCCAGGTTAGCTGCTCGCTGTCACTATGTGTTGACCTCAGCAGGTTGCACAGGTAGTGCCACATGCTGTGAAACTGGTGGACGTGCTGCCTCCTCTGAGGCAGCACACAAGGTGCCAAAATCTGTCTCTGGAGATGAAACACAGAAATTTGTTTCTGAAGCGAACATGGGTTAGCTGGACTTTTGAGGAGCGGAACAGCAATGCTGGGCCTGGGCTGGATGTGGCCAGCTGATGGCCCTGGCCACATCCCAGGGCTGACGGGAGAAGAGAGGGTGTTATGGGTCTCCCCAGGGTGAGCAGAGAGTGTATGCTCTGCTGAAGGTGCTGCAGGGGAGGAAGAGAGGATTGTTGCTCTCCTAGCCCTCCATGAGATAAATCCACACCAATGCACTACGAGCAGAGAGAAACCTTCCTCTAGGGACAACTTGGAGTGTACATATAACCCTAGCCCAGTATGTGTTACTTGGCTGATCCACTGTGGTGGATAAAACCTTATTGTTGCTTCTGTCTAAGGGATCTGAAGAGCAATAGTCTGACCTTACTGTGATTTGCTGATCCTGCAGTATTTCCCACAGGAGCTTGAGACGGTGTTTGAGTCTGGCCTCCGTTCAGATAGAGGCCAGACTAGTTAAGTGGCCTCCCTCCATCTTCCGAAAATCAACCTTTCTCTTGACTAACACAGTTCACAGAATCACAGAACGGCTGAGGTTGGAAGGGACCTCTGGAGATCATCTCGTCCAACCCCCCTGCCCAAGCTGGGTCCTCTAGAGCATATTGCCCAGGATCACATCCAGACGGGTTTGGAATATCTCCAGGATATGGCGACTGCACAACCTCTCTGGGCAACCTGTGCCAGTGCTCTGTCACCCTCACAGGAAAGAAGTTTTTCTTCACGTTCAGATGGAGCTTCCTTTGTTTCAGTTTATGCCCGTTGCCTCTTGTCCTGTCACTGAGCACCATGGAGAAGAGTCTGGCCCCATCCTCTCGACACCCTCCCTTCAGATACTTGTACACATTGATGAGATCGCCTCTCATTCTCCAATGTTAGCCCAAAGCCAGCTGGTGGGAGACACAAGCAGTGCTTTGGTCCCAGATTTGTTCTTGGTGGGGCTGAAAGGAACCTTACTGTAGGGACAAACTTCAGTCCAGGTTGGTTCAGCTGTGGTTTGTGCGTGCGGACTCCTGTGTGCCATCATCTTTCCTCATCATGAAGGTGTTGTTATGCTGTCTCTAGAGACTGGATTTTGCATGTTTTGGGAGTTACAATGGAAACATTGAGACTGACACAAACGGAGAATGAACGGGGATGTTGTGTGGAAGCACCAGAGGGAACAAATGACAAGAGAAGGGCTACACAAATGATAGGTGTCAGTGATGTGTAGATGAGCAAGTTGACAAGGCCCCAGCACATCTACATGCACCATCCCAGGACACCCAGGCTAGGAGACAAAGGCCAGTGAATAAATCCTGGTGACTCACAGAGGTGGGACAGGGTGGAGAGACCCCTCACCGGCAGCTCCTCCAGGCAAAAAAGGGCACATTCAAATGCAGCCAACCTAGGAGGAACCCAAGAAAAGTGATGAGGACTTGGTAGTCATTGTCCCTTGTCCTCCATGTCACTGCAAAGGATACTGATCACAGCACCTGGATACATATGCTTTGGTGCATAAATGAGTCTTGATGCTTGTGGGTACGTGGATATGACAGTGTCAATGAGTAAAATTGCTTTTGTTTTAGGAAAAAAAATCATCTTCCCTTCCTGGAAGGTGCTTCATTGAGATTTGTACACTGATCTTACAATGTTGCAACATTCTTTCCTATGCATGCATGGTGGGATCATGTCTCTGACACCGAGGTAGGTATTGCTCATGCCTGCTCTTACGTGCTTGGAACAGAGAAAAGCTGAAAGGTGATGGAGCACCCACCGCTGGAGATGTGACATTCAGACAAATCCCACGAGGGTGCTGGGGCAGAAAGAAGCCTCACTCATTTGCATTTCTTCAGCCAGTGAAAAGCTCTCCTTGGATGTAAAATCAGATGTGAAATTGCCTTTGCCTCTGAGCCATTTCTGAAATCTCTTCCACTGCTATTTGTCAGATGCAATCACTCCAGAAATAGTAAGTAGCGGCAGAAGCAGCAGCTGTGGCCCAGGGAATACACTGTAGACTTCAGGAAAATGGTATCTGTACTGTGCCCAACTGATGCAGAATTAATCAGGTTTGAAAAAAGAACACAGCTTTTGCACCCTGGGGGACTGTAGCTAAAAATTCCTGCCTGTGCAGATCTTCTCGTTGTGCTCCTTGACATAACTTCTAAGAGAAATAATTGAGTTTATCTCCCACATTGCCCGGAGACCTTTCACATGGAAATAGTGGGATTAAGGAGATTAAGATTTAGTTTCAACTTGGATAAAAAACAACAAAGAGGAATGATTAACACATGAAATGGTTCCCAGTCATTAGATGTGAAGTCCAATCTCCCTATATTGCCTCTAGTGAGAGCTTTTCTGTCGTGTTCATTGCTGTCACATCTGATCCCATAAGAGAACAGGAGAAAACCAAATGATTCCCCAGTGGACTGGCCCTAAAGCACCTATGGTTTGGGCCATGGAGGAGGTAGAAGGTATGGAGGGGAAGAAGGGGGGTGGTGAGATTTATGGGACTGTTGTGAGGAAGGCTCCCCTTGCGGATGATGGGGACCAGGGATAACAGGGCCAAGGAGGTACAGAGCAGAAGCTAATGGCTGGGGTATTGGTTTGAGGAGAGCAGAAGGAGGAGGGAGAAGGTAGGAGGTCATAGGCTTGGGGGCCTGGCTTGGGTAGAGGATGAGGCTGCGGGAGGAGATTGGTGTGAAGGCAGCTGCATTGTGGTGTTGGTGGGCAATGCGTGGGGCTGAGAGGTGGCCACAGACCTATGTGCCCTGTTACGGATCTGGACCAGACAGCAAATGGGGAGAGCTGGAGTTAAGGAGGTGAAGAATGTGAGCAAATGAGTCTGTAATGGTGCAGATGAGAGGGTGAGTGTTTGGAGAGGCAGTGGTGAGGAGACAGAGAAGGCTTCCTGAGACTTTGGGCAGCCATTGTGGGGCTTGCTGGTGGGGGCGGGGGGGAGGGGACGGGACTTCTCCATGACCCCTTACCTTTGTTCAAGCTCATTTACCTGGGTTTTGATGTAAGGGGAGCATTCAAACCCCCAGATCTGGTTTAGATTAGAGAATGACTCTTCTGAACTTTTACCTCCATGGAGCTGAATTTGAACTAGGAATTTTGGGGTGAGAAGTTTGGGTCATTTTTCCTCTTCAAGAACACGTTCGCAGTTCATGTGGGTTCTGGGGTGGTGAAGTTTTCAGAAGCAGCATCTGGGAGTCAAGGCTGAAGTGCTCTGACGGATTTTCATAAGTCCTTAGGTTCCTCTGGGCCATGAGTCTCACTCCGAAACCAAACACAGCCACCAGATGGTCTTTAATATGCCAGACAGTCTGGGGAGCTTTCCAGTCTCCCACCTGGAGCACCCCACACAATTTGGACCTTGTTAGTGCTGGAGAAGCAAACACAAGGCAGTTTTCTGAGAAACAATGGCAATTAACAGAGGCAGGGAGTACAGCAGTGGACTTTTTTAATCTTGTGTATGCTTTGATGTCTTTAGAGCTTTGCCCCATGCATATAGGGTCATGTCAGTCTTTCTTGGTCCTGGGTGCAGGTGTTATTGGCTGCAATCCAGTGGCTGTGCAGCCCCCATATTTGACATGGGATACCTGGGCTGATGGGGTTTGCTCAATAGGACCTGTAAGCTGATTTACCCTTTGCCTGGAGGGACAGACAGGACAACGTCCCTCAAACCTCAGTGTCTGGCGGGCGAGTCTGGCCTGGCCAGGGGGAATTTTCCTCATGAGGACAGTCAAGGTAGGTTAAAAGCAGATGGACTTTTTACTGGTAGAATTAGATGTGCTGAGCTTCTTAGACTCCTGGAAGGCTTGGTCAGGCTTGGTACAGTGATTGCTGGGTAATTTATCTGTCCTGTTCCAGAGGAGATCTTATTCCTACTCTGCAGGATTTGACCCCTCCTAATGAATCCTGGCCTGCTTCCTTGAGCAGCTGGCTGCTTACAAGTTTTGGTGCTCGGCATCTCTGAATCTGGTGCAACACACGAGGAGAGAAAAGGGCATGTGATCCTGGTTCCAGATCCCACGCATCCCTGCAGATGTTAATGGTGCTCTGGAGACTGCAAAGCAGTGCAAACCAGTTTCAAGCCTGCCTCCTCTTGGCCTAGTCATCAGATCATTGATGATTTCTTTACAAAATAATTTGGTGCCTTTTTGTGCTGCACTGTACGTTAGATGAGACACAGATGTTTGCTCTGGCAGTGAGTCATTACCATAGTTGCAGCTGTCAAGAAGGCTGGTGTTTTTTGCAGCTGAATCGGGGAAGTCAAAGCCTTTAGCATCTCTGAAAACACAGAAGTTCCTGTGCTTTGTGGGAGTCTGGGGACAGCTAGACCTATCAGTCACAGCAAAGGAATCCCTCTCTGTGGCCAAAGCAGTAATAAATTTATAGTGAATGGGCTTTGAATCCCCTCTTTCCGTGCCGAACAGGGGAATGCTTTGCCTTTCCCTGCTCTGCCTGTGTAATTTACTTGGGGTAGGGACTTCTCATGTGACCCCATACAAGACAGTAGAGCGAGGACTTGCTGGCTTCCAAGGTCTCCAGATGAGACCACAACAGCAGTTCTAGGTTTGCCATCCTTGTATATGTGAGTTGCATTTTCAAATGAGCACGGGAAAAGGGACTGGGATTCCCTTCCCTTCTCTTTGCTGCAAAGTGAACTTGTGCTAATGGCTTTTGTGATATGGTAGTGGTGGCTTACCTGCAGGACTGGACCTTCACAGGGGTTTCCAGATAGATTTGTTGCTCACTCTTGTCCTAGCTGGATTCTCATATCCCGTTCCTACCCGCTGTAGCACTCATTGTAGTTCTGGTGTTTATAACTGTGTTGAAAACAACTGGTGTTTGCAGAGTTTTAGCAAGGTAATTTTTGAGCTTTTAAGCAGAGCACACTGCCACTGTAGAGAGACAATCTCCGCATCCATCACTGGAGTTCAGTGTAAGAGAAAGGCAGTGAGAGATAGCATGGGAAGAAATGGGAAAAGTGGGTGGGAGAAGCAATAAATCTAAGGAACCTGAGCAGAAGTAGTTTTTTCTAATACTTTTTTGTGTGTCAGAGGAAAGATAAGGATAGGGGAAGTCATTAACTTCTATATCCTTTAAAGGGAACGTCCTGCTTGGTGTTCAAGGGAGATACACAGAAATATGTGGTCTCTCCATTGACGCTTAAGACATCCAGTCCCTCCAGGCCACCCTGCTCCAGGGCAAAGAACAAGACATTTTGGTGTCTCAGGCTCTTCCTGAGGTTGGTCCAGGGCTACGTGGTGTGGAGGTGCTGCAGGACTGTGGGTTCTTCTGGCTGTCATCTACAGACAAGATGTCTCAAGTGGCTGCATTTGAGGACCTCCTCAGGAAAGAGGGAGAAGGCCCCTGTTAGGGTGAACTGTGATTTAGCTTAACCTCAGCAGCTGATGTAGAGGTCCTGCAGTAGAAGACCCTGTGTTAAAACACCAAGTCTAGGCACCAAAGCCACAACTTGCCCTAAGAGGAACCATTCTCTGCTGAAATGTGGGGCAAATCGTGACTTTCCTTGCCCATTGCTGTAGCCCTGTTTAGCAAGCATGAATGTAGTTGTTCTTAGGGAAGAACCAGAGCTCCTGTAGCATTTTCTCTTGCCTTAAAGACAAGCAGAAAAGAGCCCTGGGAACTTTCAGGGGTTGCCTTTATTTAATTTAGAGAAACAACGGAGGGTACAAGCAACGTTGCTACTCTGCCAAGGTCATGCACTGAGAGCTCACACTCCTGTACAAATATTACAAGATCTGTAGTAAGAAGATTAAGCTGAGTGTGTTGGAAAAAAAGAGAGGAAGGCAGAATTATTGAGTTAAAACTGCATGTGCACACATAAGAGATAGGGAGAATGAGAGAGTGTAATTTCCTGCCCTTGTAAGGAGGGCATGGAGGTCTCTGGGGTGAGAGCACTTTTGCAGACTGAAAGGGAAAACAGTGCATGCCTCCGAGGAATATTTGCGTTCAGCTCTCCTGGAGGAGCAGCCCTTCTGGGGAATAGATGCTACCATAAACCTGAAGAAAGGAAGTTATCTGTAACCCCCCAAATACAAGGAAATATTTTCCATGCCATTCTGGGAGAACAGGAAGTTATTTTTGGTCTCTGTAGCACACTGAGTGTAGTTGAGAGCGTGTGCAACAACAGCAGAGTTTTCAGCAGCTCCCATTGTATTTGCTCCTATTGACTTTATGGCTAATAGGTGCAGGATGTGAATTATAACGGCAAAGATGTAATCGGAGAGGCTTGGAGACAGCTCGTCTGCTAGGGACGATCAGTTGCCATGACAGAGGCTCTTGCATTGCTCCTTTTCTAGTGGAACACCAGGTAAAACAAGGACTCTGCGGCTTCTGTTGACTTCAGTATAATTTAGGGGATAAATGACTTCACCATTTCCCTGGATGTGGGAGGCGAGGATGTTTTTATGATTATGAAGGAGAGAGAAAGTCATGTTATTGTGTTCCTGACGAAATACATTGATATTCTTCACAGCACACAGGCTGGGAGACTAAATGTTATTATTAGCTAGTGTTTATTAAGTCACTACAGAAGGCAGGGATGCACCGGAGGCAAAAGATCCAGATCGTTCCTGATTTACACCAATTTAAACAACCTTGGTGGTGCTGCACTCATTCACATCAGCTCAGATTCTGTCACAGAGTTTCCATGAGGTATAGCACCAGGGATTTAAACTTTATAGATATTGTTTCAGCACCTTCTTGGCGGATATGATCACTCTGGCTTTGCACGGGGAAAAGCTGCAGCCTATATGAGTAACTGCACAGAAGTAATGTGCAACACTTCCTCCTGTGGAGTAGCGTGGCCAGGTGAGGAAGGACTGAGTGACCTCCTTTCCCATAAATGAGCCAGGGGAAAAGGATCTGGCACTCAGCAGCACACGGTTTATGCCTGCTAGAGAACCAGCATGTCAGTGCAGCCCCCCTAGTTGAGGGTGTAATGGAGAGTCTGGCCAGGCAGGGATTTTGCAGAGGGCTTCTGAACGGCTTGGAGGCACAGAGTCTTCCAGGTTCCTCTGCCTGCCCCTTATGCTGGTCATAATAGTCAGGGCTATGGTCTGGGAAGGTGCTAGAGGAGGGAGCAAGTTTTTGGAAGTTTGTATGAGCCAATCCTTTTCTTCATTCTCCTGTTTTGTCTCTGCTGTGAAATCCTTGCTGAGACAGGGACTGCCACTGGCTGTGGGGCTGTACAGCAGGTAAGGGAAGGCTGGCAGTCTTGTCTCTGGAGACAGCTGAGGACGATGGTGTGAGCTCTAGCAGAAAGAATGGATGTAGCAACTATTCTGGCAGAAACTTCAAGACATAAAGGTTTAAAAGGGAAATGAGGGAAAAACCATGCCTCATAATGATAAATGTGCGTTTATCCGTGGGTGGATTTATCAAAAGAATGAGAAGAAGCATTACAATCTGCAAGCGTCTGTGTGTCCAGAAGGACAGTAGGCAAAGGGACTGATTAATGGGGGTTGGGACCAACGTGCAGTGATACCATTATTGTCAAATGTGTCAGTGCTGATGACTCTTTTTAAAGCAAGGGACTTGTTGTCATTTTAATAGGACAGACATTTTCTCCCTTGATGCTACCTGGTTTACATCACAGCACCTGGATCCAAGACTGAAGAGTTTTAGGTGGAGATAAGAATCAGCCAGGAGGAGGATTTTCCCAATGCGCTAAAGAAAGAAATAACGAAGAGGACTGGGGATTTAAAGCCTCATGTGCTTTGAAAGAACCCTGTATCTCCTTTTAACCAGAGAAATGAAGTTCAACTGCCAGATGTGTGGACCAGGTAAGCAAGTACCTAAGCATCTCGCTATGCCTTTTGCCAAGACCCCACTGTGTTTCACAAACACCACAAGATTTTGAGGTGGAGTCGAGCACTGTTTTGTAAGAGGAGAGACAAGAGGATTGCCTGGCAGGTGTCTGAGCAGACCTCTGTTACAGCTCAGCCTATGCTCTGATTCCCAGGCCAGATTTCTGCCACCTTCTCCAGCGATCATTATTGCTCATTTTGTATCACTTCTATGGACTACTCGAAATTGCAAATTTGCAAATTAATGCCTCAGAGTAGGTGTTATGCCCCCCAAAAAAGAGAATGAAGGCTGGTATCTCTCAGTGTAACTTGCTCCCTATGTAAACAGCCTTCTACTTTTGGCCCATGTCTGAGTTCCTCTGGCCCAGATCCCAGGGAGGTCTCTGAGCCCTGTAGTTTTCTGAGGTTCTGTAACCAGTGGTGGCAGGCTGCCCTTCTGCAGAGTTTCATGGGGAAAAACACAGCATATTGCATGGGGAGAAACACAGTGTATTGCATGAAACGATGACATGAAGTCCTGGAGACCTGGGAAGGCATGGGCCACATGCCCGTCTCTGGCTGCATTATGGCTCTGTGATTTTCTGTGTGTGTTTCCTTACATGCACACATCTCAGCAAATTCTTGCTGCCCAGTTTCAGGGGCACTGTGAAGGAGATTTGGCCATGATACACCAATGGCTCTATTCTGGAAGAATACAGAGTTGTTGACATTGCTATTTGCACAAAAAGCTGAGTGTTAACCATTAATTCGTTTCTTCATGTGATCTGCCCTCCCCAATGCATCCAACGCTAGTAACACCTTCAGGCCTTTGTTTGTGTTGCTGCTAGAACTTTGGTGGATCAAACTGCTTTATAGCTTGTAATAACACGATGGTTCATGGCCTCGGAAACATAAAGATCCTCATCAGAGTCTGGTAATGAGTACGAGGATGAATGATCTGCTGGATATGTTCTTATTCCCTTCTCCATCCTTCCTGAAAAGGGATGCTCCTGATGCAAGCTGGTAATGGCCACAGTAACAACAGTGACAAACATTTAATTCATGATCTTTAGCCCTGGAAACAAAGGCATTAAAATGAGATCTCCTCTTCTCCTCTAATGAGGACAGAGTCTACCTGGCAAGCTTAGAGGGGGATCTAGCGATCTTCAGGAGACCTCCATCCTTTGCAGCATAGAGCAAGAATCAGTCTGTGCTTTGGCTATTCCTAGCTATCTCTATGGACCTGCAGCTGGGTAAGATCATATCGTATAGAGGTGGGGTTTGTACCTCCTAATGCAATGGCTACCCTCTCCGAAGAGCCTAACCCACTCCCAGGCATCAAAAAATACCTTAAAATGTCTTGTGTTGACGTGCAAAAAATTCTAGGCCTTTGAAAACTTCAGCAGTGAGATTGGGCACAGAGTCCTACCACTCCATTTGGGCTGTCAGGCTGACCTGAACACCATGAGGCAACGTGGGGCAATCCCAGGAGCAAAGTTTATATATAAACTGCACCACCAAGTGCTGACCTATGTGGTTCCCCAGCTATTGCTACAAGCTAAACTCCCAGATTCTCCAGAGTGCTGCTGATTTTTCCATCTGCCTGTTTCTCCTACTCTGGATGGTGATGGTACCCCAGCGACCGAAGCTAGATCCAGAGGCACATCTCTGGTGACTTCCAGGTCCTGAAATGCTGGGATTGGTGTGGATGAAGGGGACAATACATGCGAATGCTTCCTCTCTGCACAGATAAGGTCTCATGCATGGAGGTACTTGCAAATAGCGTGATTTCTCATAGACTGAATATGGCTTTGCAATAGAGTATCAGACTCTTATTTGTATTTCTACTATTTTATTAGCCTACAAAAACCCTACATATATGTACTTTGACTACTTTTGCTTTAAAAGGCTGTCAGGAGTACTCCTCAGTAATTTGCTGTGGAAACAGAAAGATGGAAGGGAAGCAGATCGTAAATGCTTATATATGCCTGTTGTCTGGATAAACTTTACATGCAGTATGAGCTGAAACTCAAATGCAAATTCATGGTGCTTGATCCAGTGCCAAGGGAAAACTCCAGTTCAATTGCTTCAAGGCGCGTCTGTGTAGACATAGGCAATTTGAGGTTAACTGAGATGAAGCCACTGCTAATTTCACTGATTGGTTATAACCTTGGGCGGACTTGAACCTTCTCCCAGAACCAGAATGTCAGCGGAAACACACTGGCAGCCTGTACTGCAGCTGTAGGGTGAACTCTCTGAGCAAAGTACTCTAGCTGGTGGGATCTTGGAGAAGCCAGAGTTTTAAGATAAATGCACAAAGGCTTCCTTCAAATGATGAGGCAGTTGCTTTGTCTAATGAATAGAGTTTCAGATGAAGACAAGGTTTTTATGGAGATACAGATCAGCTTGGAAGTTTGTGAGAATACAAAGTTTCCAACCCACGGAAAATTTGATTTCTATGTACAAGCAGAGGCATAACTAACACTTAAGAAAAATACAGTAGCAGCTATTACCTTCCTGTGAGTTTCCCTTCACATGCTCGACAGTCCTCCTGAAGACATCAGCCATGTTCTCTGTTTTGGAAGCAAGTTACATGTACACAGCGATGCTGTACTGGCTCCTGTACAGTCTTGGGACATAGCTGGTCCTCCTCACAAAAGCCATTTACAACTTTTCCTCTTCCTGCCTTCGGCTGGGGTCATCCTTTGCTGATGAGGTTGACTTTGGGGCTACCTTTTCAGGAGCAAGAGAGCTGGCTTTTGTGCACCCTCCTACCCCATTTCTGTCTGGACAAATGATGTGCTAAGAGGTCTGAATGATATCTGAGCTAGGATGTCCCACACTATCACAGTCTGAGCTGTTAACACTCCCTTTCTCTCTTCAGATGCCGTGGCCTGAGACTTGTTTGCCAACAAACACAGAGCCTCGTGGGACATCCTTTCTGCTCGACACCCCTGTCCCATCCTTTCTGCTCCTCTCTCTGGGTGGGGGCAGCTGTATTTGCCGTGCTCTGCACATCTGTGGCCTCCTTTGCTATGGCTCTGGTATCAACTCTGATCTAAAGGTCAGGTTCAGCTCACCAGATGGGTGTAGTTGGTATGAGGATTAGGTAAATCCCATGTTAGCAAATGCAGGGGAGAGTAGATACAGTTGAAGTGGGTGCCAGGCTTATGCTGAAATTGTCTCCACCCAGGATGTAGATAGCACCCTACAATTAGCCAGGTTAATCCTTCCCACTGGGGTTTTCAGAGCTCTTTCCCAAGTTGGGACATCGCTATTGAGGAAAGCCATAGCATAAGAAACCAGGCTGTGGATTTGAACCCCTAGCCATCCTGCTCTAGCTGTCTGCACTGTGGCTTTTGCACAAGGAATCTTTTTTTTTGTGGATTACAGAATCACAGAATCACAGAATCGTTTAGGTTGGATGGGACCTCTGGAGATCATCTCGTCCAACCTCCCTGCTCAAGCAGGGTCACCTAGAGCATATTGCCCAGGATCACATCCAGACGGGTTTGGAATATCTCCAGGGAAGGAGGCTCCACTACCTCTCTGGGCAACCTGTTCCAATGCTCTGTCACCCTCACAGTGAAGTTTACTTTAATTGCCTTCTGAAATAAACTAAAGCTCAGAGAAACTGTGATGTGGAACAAGGGACTAGCATAAAGCCATTATGGGGGCGCTGATCTGTGCAGAGACACCTTTGCAAGTTAAACTGGACTAACTGAAGGGGTGAGTTTAAAGTGTGCTCAATAAACTGGGTCACAGTGAGTGAAGCTACACAGAAATAAAATTGCTTTAATTATTATTCACAGTGTCAATACAGTAGTTTAATGTGGTTTAAGTAAGAATGTGTCTCCAGGCAGAGCAAAGCACAAAGTCTATAAGGGTAGGAAAATGTTTTAGGGTAGAGGATACAAATGGCTCCAGGGCCCTGATGGACAGCAGTGCCAAAGCTGTACCATTTATCCATAAGGTTATTTAGTCTGACGTAGCCGTTCACTACCCTGCCTCTACGGAGTCTAGATTTCATCTGCAAGGCTGGGGGTCCCCTGTCTATAAAACAGCAGGCACCTCCAGGACGCAACACTGCTTTGCTAAAAGGGAAAAGGGGAAAGAGGGCAATTTTTGGAGTTGCCTCGCTGCTGCATGCAATCATTTCTGATCATGACATCACTGCGTTTTTCTGCATTGACTTGTCACTCAGAAACAAATCAAATCACCAGCCAGGCAAGCTCCCTGCCTCTGGAGGCTAGGTTGTAAAAGATGCTGCTTATGTCAGAGGCTTGCTCTGTTCTGGGCTTGTGTGAATTGCTGCGTCACCGTTTCATTGTTGCTCCATGTTTTGAAATATGCTCTGCAGCTGCTGTGCCTTCTCCTGTTTTATTTGGAGTGAAGCTGCAAGGAGTCATCATGGGCCATTTTCAATGTTCTTCCTTTGTGGCAGTTTGCCTGAGATGAATCACAGGCAGGTTATGTGTCCTGTACACGTGAGCGTGAATTAGAGGGAAGGCTCCAAGATTACTGTTGATTGTCTCTCTGAATGGCCTGCTGAATTGTGCACTTCACACGGCTGGAGGCTGGGATGGCCTTCTAGCCCTTTGGGTCCTAGTTAAAGGGGGGGCGAGCTATTGTGTTCTCCTCTGCCAGCTGGTAGCAAAACCTGTTAGGTCTGCCTGACCTGTCAAATTGTTAGGGTTCAAACAGATTAGGAAAGGAACGTCAAAAAATGTTCCCAGTATATGGATGCCTCATGGCCTTGCAGCAAACTATGTGTCATGGAGAGAGGTATGTGCAATCAGGGATAGAACGGGAGATAATGGAAATATTTGCTCCCTTGCTGTATTCTGAGCCATGAACGTTTCTGTGTCTAAAAGAAACCAAGGAAGAATTAAAGGGGGTCATCCAGCCTCCAGAGTATTGCACATAGTCTCAGGGAGTTCAGACTGTCCCTTAGATGGTCAGAGGAAAGGGGGATCAGTTTTGTGAGAGGAGCTTGCTGATCACTTAATCAACCAAGGTCGAAGGATGCTCCAGTGGCTCTTTGTAAGCACACTGGGGCATAAGAGGCATTTATGTTAAAAGATAGTGATAGGGAATAAAAGATAGATAAAAGATAGATAAAAGATAGTGATAGGGAATAAATTGGACATGGGCATCTTTGACTAACGGAAGATCAAATGGGAATAAATTGGACATGGGCATCTTTGGCCTGGGAAGAAGAATAATACTGCTAAGCCTCAGGGACATCCTAGAAAAGTGTTCCAATGAGAGGCTCGAAACCTGTTTCAAAGTGGAATAGGTAAAGTTGAGAAAGGGACTGCATGATAGCGAAGGAGGTGAAAATTGGCTGGATGAGGTTTTGGGATTTGTTGATATCCCCAACAGGGCTTTGGAAGGGGGTGATCATTGCTGCCATTTTTGGTTTGCGACACACTATTCTCACAGTTATGAATTATTCCCATGTTTCAGAGTTTCTGCAGGAGGAGGGACACCTTTCGTCCTTGATGCAGAACTTGACTTTGGGTTTGTTTTGTTTTGGGGGCTTTTTTCTCCCCGTTCCCTGGAAGCACTGGACTGGCCTGAGTGAAAATAGGCTGCTGCTGAGAGGACAAGCACTTCACTTGTGCTTTTAGTGGGAAAGAGAAATGGTTTGGGTGCCCTCCTTGCCCACGCACCCAAGTTTTATCCCACAGTCAGATCTGGTGTCAGAGAGGAACTGGGCTGGGTCCTTCTCTGTAGCACGGAGGGTGACATCATCTGATAGGGACCCAAAACCTTGGCCACACTCTCGCTATCTTCTGCTTTTTTGCAATGGCACATTGTCATTGGAGCCATTTGATCCCAATTTCACCTTGACTGTGGGCTGCTTGGATGCTTTTTTTGTGATTTGTGATGCACGTGGAGGTGGGTGGTGGAGCAGGGCTCTGAATGGTCTTTCTTGGGGGCTCTTTCAGATATAGTGCTAGTGCCTGGGGGAGACGGGTAAGATGTTCCAGGTGCTCCAGTCTGGAGCTACACTCCAAAGTAAATGATTCACAGGAGTGATTGGTGGTGACGTACTTCTATCAGGGCCTTTTCCTTCCCTAATGACTTGGTACCCAAAGGAAATTCCAGATGAAGACATTGCCTAACCAGGAGCACTTTGTGTCTGAAAATGGAAGGGGTAAGTCATAGCTATTCTTTCTTCAGTTTCTTCCATCCTGGAAGATGACAAATAAAACACGGTTTCAGGCAGGAAACTGTTAGAGCCTAATGCAGTGTGTAACGGTATGGGTTTGTCCTGGAGCTGAAAAGTTCCCATACGTGCTCTCTTCAGTATTACTAGCCTCAGAACATTACCAAGTCCTGGCTCCAGCAGTGCAACCAGGTAAGATATTGATTCTGTTTCATTTGGAGACCTGAGTTTGTACCAGTTGTCCTGGGGTGGAAGAGAGTCCCAGAGCATTACAGCAGCTCTAGCCAAGTGAGTCTGGGACGGCGTAATACAGCCTGGTGAGTAAGACAAGACACAGCCAGAGACACCCCATGTATTTACAGGAGAAAAAGGGTCATTTAGATTGAAACATGGCCACAGTGGGTACGGAGGAGGGAGTCTTAGTGGGAAAGGTCATCTATCACACATCACAGGGTCATTTATGCAAGTGTCCCAAGGCAAGAAACCATGGACCCTTCTCACACAGGTGCCAGGATTGTACAAAGTCAAGCAGGGCTTGCCGCAGGGCTATATCCCCTCCCCATGCTTAGCTAGAGGAAAGCACAGCATCCCCCAAAGAGGTTTGCAACTCTGAAGAAGCTTTGCCACCTTGTCGTACGTCTGCCTTCAGGAGCGTTCAGGCAGTGCAATGCACAGAGAGGCTGAATGCGTGGGGCCAAACCGCAGCTACGCTACACGCTGAGGTGGATGAAAGAGATCCCTTTTCTCACCTCTAGGACTGAGGAAAGCAGGAGGGTGCTTGGAGCAATCTTGGGGCTCCTCTATCATGGAGCCCTACTCCCTACCTAAGATTGTGGTCTAAGGGATTGTCCCTCTGCTCAGATGGGGTCTGAGCTCTGCCACCAAGGAGATGGGAGACCTGCCACTAAGGGGAAGGGGGGCCTCCCACTGAGGGATGGGGTCTGAGCCCTGCCACCAAGGGGTAGATCTGAGCCCTGCCACTGAGGGCATGGGAGACCTGCCACCAAGGAGATGGGGATCCTGACACTGAGGGACGGGGTCTGAGCCCTGCCACTGAGGAGATGGGAAACCTGCCTCCAAAGGATGGATATGAGCCCTGCCACTGAGGGCATGGGGGACCTGCTACTGAGGGGATGGGTCTGAGCCCTGTGACCAAGGGATAGGGGAGCTGCCACTGAGGAACGGCGTCGAAGATCTGCCACTGAGCAGACAGGGACCCTGTCACTGAGGGGATGGGGGACCTGCTGCCAAGGGATAGGGGTCCTATCACTGAGGGGAAAGGGGTCCTGTCACCAAGGGGATGGGGGCTGTGTCACTGAGGGGATGGGGATCCCCTCACTGAGAGATGGGGGTCCTGTCACCAGGGGATGCAGGTCCTGTCACCAGGGGATGGGAATTCTGTCACTGAGAGAATGGGAGATCCTGTCACTGAGGGGATGTGGGTACTCTTACCAAGGGGATGGGGGTCCTGTCACTGAGGGATGTGGTTCCTGTCACTGAGGGGACACGGGTCCTGTCACCAAGGGGACAGGGGCTCCTGTCACTGAGGGGACAGGGCTCCTGTCACCAAGGGGATGTGGGTCCTGTCACTGAGGGGATGCGGGTCATGTCACCAAGTGGACAGGGGCTCCTTTCACTGAGGGGACGGGGCTCCTGTCACCAAGGGGATGGGGGTCCTGTCACTGAGGGGATGGGGGTCCTGTCACTGAGAGGATGAGGGTCCTGTCACCAGGGGATGGAGATCCTGTCACTAACAGGATGCGGGTCCTGTCACCAAGGGGACAGGGGTCCTGTCATTGAGGGGATGAGGGTCCTGTCACCGGGGGATGGAGATCCTGTCACCAGGGGGTGGAGATCCTGTCACCAACGGGATGCGGGTCCTGTCACCAAGGGGACAGGGGTCCTGTCATTGAGGGGACGAGGGTCCTGTCACCGGGGGATGGAGATCCTGTCACCAGGGGGTGGAGATCCTGTCACCAAGGGGATGGGGGTCCTGTCACTGAGGGGATGGGGGTCCTGTCACTGAGGGGATGGGGGTCCTGTCACTGAGGGGATGGGGGTCCTGTCACTGAGGGGATGGGGGTCCTGTCACTGAGGGGATGGGGGTCCTGTCACTGAGGGGATGGGGGTCCTGTCACTGAGAGGATGAGGGTCCTGTCACCAGGGGATGGAGATCCTGTCACTAACAGGATGCGGGTCCTGTCACCAAGGGGACAGGGGTCCTGTCATTGAGGGGACGAGGGTCCTGTCACCGGGGG